TGGAAGGGTATATAGAAGATTTAATAGGAAGAATACACGTATGGAATCGGACCAATACTCCACATCAGAGTATGAGACCTCAGACACAGACACTGAAGGTCCAAATACAAGCTCAATACCCTCTAATACTACCCAAACAAGAGGTATCCTGAAAAAAGGGGTGGCTTTTTTAGGCCAAAACCCCCGAGAGGGGGAACCCCAGCCACAACACAGGCAAACAAGATACAGGGGGAGGGCTCGCAAACGGTACTAAATTCCAACAGCAAAGTCATCAACCTCTCCGATAAGGCACTCACTGAATCCCAGATCAAGGTCCTTGCGAAAGGGCTATCTTTTGTCCCTGTTCCTTCATTCAACAAATTTGAATGGATAAAGGATATTCATCTTTTTGGGAGAAGATTAGCCTTACACAAGTTTTTTCTCATAGAGAAGGAGAAAAGAGCCAAGGATCTGGGTTTTACTGTAAGGGAATACCAATGCCTGAATGATCTAGTATCCTTACTGGATGAGAATGATGGTTTAGTCACGTTGCCCTATACCGACCTACGACATAAAAGCAAGTTTACCCCTAACATCAAAGATTTTAAGAACATTGATATGTTCGTGGACTCAACCTGTAACATGTTACATGAGCTGAGGATGGACTCCCTCCAACCCCGACCACACAGTAATCTGTCTAGAAATGAGTGGCAGGCCCTCTGTGACTTACAAAACGATGATGACATTATCATCAAGCCGGCTGACAAGGGGGGGAATATTGTGGTACTAAGTAGAACACAGTATATACGACTAACTCTAAATATACTCAAAGACAGTACCACTTACAAAGTACTACCTACAGACCCTTCAGCTAAATTCTTGTCGGCCCTGAAACATCTTTTAGATAAGGCGTTTGATGATGGAGTCCTTGGCAAAGATGAGTATACATTCATCTATGTCAAAAGTCCGACTGTGTCCACATTTTACTGTCTACCAAAGGTACATAAGCACTATGACAACTTGACAGCTAGACCCATTGTGTCAGGATCCAATAACATAACATGTAAGGCCAGTATCTACCTAGATAAGATCCTTCGTCCCTTTGTAGAAAAGCTACCTTCTTACCTTAGGGATACGAAGGATACTTTGAAATGCCTAACCTCCATCAGTCTACCAAGAGATGCCATCTTATGTAGCCTCGATGTGGAGGCATTGTATTCTTCCATTCCACACTCCCTGGGGCTGAGACACATTAAACATCACTTGGAAACACGGGGATCCGAACATCAACGCCACACTTTATTTGTATTGGATCTACTGCAATTTGTCTTGACCCACAATTTCTTCTTATTTGATTGCCAATACTACCACCAGGTGCAGGGTACAGCCATGGGTACATCTTGTGCCCCATCATACGCTAACCTGCACCTGGGTTGGTGGGAGGAGAATGTGGTTTTCACCGATACAAACACTGAATACACCAAATACATCTTTATGTGGAAGAGGTATATAGATGACGTCCTTGTGGTATGGACGGGAACAAGGGAATGCTTTGTGACCTTTGTAGAGAACTTGAACTCTAATGACCTCAATTTGAAGTTCACAATGGAAATAGGGGGTTCGTCCCTCAATTTCCTCGACTGTACGTTTAGTACCACTTCTAAGCAGACCATTGAGACAACATTATTTAGGAAACCCACCTCAACAAATACTATGCTGAGGTGGGAAAGTCATCACCCAACCACATTAAAGAGAGGCATTCCTGTTGGACAGTACCTCCGGTTGAGGAGGAACTGCTCTAACATGGAGGACTTTATTACTCAAGCCAAGTCACTTAAAACCAGGTTTAAAGAAAGAGGATATCCTAACCGCTGTTTAAAGCAAGCATATCAAAGAGCGCTATACAGCGATAGAATGGAACTCCTCAAGGATAAACCGATCCCTAATGAACCAGCACCTATTCGTTGCATTGTTAATTTTGACTCAGGCTGGGATCAGGCGAAAAATATACTGGGAAGATTCTGGCCACTTATATCCCAAGATCCCCATCTCAAAGGGACTGTGACCCCTTATGTATCCCTTACAGCACGTAGAGGAAGGAATTTAAAGGAGGCACTAGTGCCCAGTCATTTCTCCTCTACTAAGCCAGGTCACAACTGGCTCTCTGTACAGGGTACTTACAAATGTGGCAAATGTGTGGCTTGTAGGTACATTTATAAAGATTCTAAACACCTCACAGATTCATGCGGCCAAGTGGTCTGTAATGTTAAACAATTTTTTAATTGCAATACCAAAGGTTTAGTCTATCTCTTGATCTGCACATGTGGCCTCAGATACGTGGGTAAAACAATCCGCCCCTTTAAAAGACGTATCATGGAGCACATACACTCTGTGAGGAACCAAAGGGACACCCCTGTGGCGAGACATATACGAAATCAACACTGTGGGGATCCCGAAGTGGTTAGGTTCGCAGGGATTGAAAAAGCGACCCTAGGCCGTAGGGGCGGTGACTTGGATCACACCCTCCTTAAAAGAGAGTGCTACTGGATCTATAGGTTCAAAACTTTGGCCCCCAAAGGTTTAAATGAGGGGTTTACTTTTACTCCCTTCATTGAAAAATAGTAACACTAAGGAACTATATTAATGTAATTGTATTATATATGTACATAATAATTATTTAGACTGTATACACTTTTTTCTTTGTCCTTTATTTATTTTGTTTTATGCATCGGTGATCCACCTGACCCTATATATACACACTCGTTTATAACTTCATTTATCCATCAGTACAGTGTAATCAACAGGACTCACATAATCTGAGATCGGTTTACTTACTATCCAGCTCTAGCCTAGTTCTAGTAACTGACTGGACTCTTGATCCAGTATTTTGACATTTAACTTTAATGTCTAGGTGTGCTATTCTGGATATATAAGGATAGTACAATCAATAGGATCTCTCCTTAGAGATCGGCTTATTTGTTATCTAGTCTTAATCCATGTCTAATAATTAACTGGATTCTGCAAGGACTCTATAATCAATAGGATCTCTCTTCAGAGATTGGCTTACTTTCTGGTCTCAATTCATGTTCAATTATTAATTGGACTCCCACCTAGTATTCCACTATGACAATGGTAATGATTCTATCGAACTCCTGCGGATTCATAAGCCTTTCTAAAGTCCTACACTGACTGTACACCCCTCTCTTATAAATCACTAATATGGCGATGGGTCTCTTATACCTCAGAATTATCTATGCGGCAAATGCTACATGCTACCCAGTAGCCACGTAAGATTGGCACCTATAGGGTCAACGGAGGTTTTGTTCAATCAACCTACACTCACCAATCAGAGGCTGGATCGTCATTGGGGGCGGGGTTGGATTGCGTTCGGCCAATTTTGGCGCGAACGCACTGCACACGCCCCCATTATGAACTGAGTGTAAAGGGCTATTTAAGGAGTCACCGATGCTCCGATCACCTGTTTAGCCTCAGAAGAAGGCGCGTTAGCAGCGCCGAAACACGTGTTAGGTAGCAGGCAGGATATTTCTGTACCTGGATGCCGACTAGTTTAGTCTCTCCTGATGATTAGCTAGATAGAATTCCAATACGATTCACTAGAAGGGGTGGGGAGGATATGGGCGACGGGGCTACTTTTTCTACCAGACACAGTCAAGCTTATTATGTGATAGCTTCCTCCAGCATTACTGATTAGAATATAGTTGCTTTTTTTCCCCCATTCCTCAATCCCTCAGTGACGGGCGTACAATATTGTTACGATATCTATCACACTGTATCTATCTAGCTATCGTATTTAGACTAGTGGATGATCACATAGTTAATGGACCTTCTCTACTGTTTCTTGCTATAAATTTGCTTACAAGGATATATACACTTGCTACTTTCTTACCCTATTGGATTTTATTTCAGTTAGTGGTAAAAGAGATAAGAATCCATCCAGCAAGCATAGAGGAATTGTTTCCCTTTATTTTGGCAAGTTTTAGAGGTACCATTACTGAGAGACGTACTATACTGGTTGGGGGGATTTGCAGCTTTATTCAGCTTGATATCCTTTAGGTGATTTCCTCAGGATAATTATCCCCTTCCAGGCTTATATCCTCCTAATTTTAAAATATTTAAATACATTTTTTCTAAGTTTTTTGTTAGAGCATTTTTTTATTACAGCAACAATTAAAGGTTATGTTTTACCTCCTTTGTATATATATATATAAGTATTCACCAGGGGGCGCCCTGTTTCTCCTGACCTATCAGGTCTGTCTTTCAAATTAATACACGTATGTGAGGGTTATCCCCTATTTTGGCCGCCCCTAGACACACACCTAGTTGTTTCCCCTTTTGGGGTATCCAACTTTTTTCTTTAGAGTGTACAAATATGCTTAAAATGCCACAACAGCTATTGCTAGCATTTCCACAGACATATAGAAACATTTTCTAGGCATATGATAACATTGCACATTTTGTAATATAATGTATAAGAAATAAGAAGAACGTGTTAGGACAGGAATTGAAAGGGTTAAATCAAGCTGGCTCCTGACTGCTTTTACAGGGATATACTGAGATAAACTAAGATAGAAAATAGATAACATGAGAGTTGTAATTATTCAAGATATGTCCCTAGGGAGGTTCCCTTGACAAGGAAAGTTAATGTGGCATCTGAGTAAGGGATTACAACCATTGCTAGACTCATAGATAATGGGGTGAAGGCGTTTATTGATAGTAGGATGGTATGTCCCCAAATAGCTAGATAAAGTTAACAGTTTCCCCCAATGCCACCATACTCAGGTCTCCGGTCATCCTATGCCTACAATTGGCAGAACACAGTCCATGACCAGGCATATTGGGCTTCTGGGCAGATGTGTAAGCCGGCGGGGCAGATCGCAAATCAGCGACAGGACTCTTCACTGCCCCTCAGACTTTGACGTAGGGTTGTGGCTTGATGTGAGTCAGCTCCAGCTTCAGTTCCGCTTTTTGTTTAGGTGTGCTCCACCGCTTGCATTTCCCACGTTGTTAGGCCCTCACCACCGGTATTGTTGATGGTCCCCACTGAGAATCTGGAATTTGCAAACTGTGTCTGTGGTCTTGAGGTTGCATAGGAGCTTGGTACGGTGATCTGCCGTCCAGCTGCTGCCAGAATTTTACAAAGAGTCTATTCAGCTTGGACTTCAAATCTGAATTTACAGCACAGAAGGTAGGGGAACACATGGTCGTCGCCATTTTGCATGGGTCGCGGTACTTTTTGTTGGCTTGAATGGCTCTGACATTCGGGTCTGCCAGTGCCAGGCTGCCTCCCAGGGGTGGACCTGCATCACCTCAAGGGGGGGGGGGAACGGTCCAACATCCCTTGTGTACCAGGCCCCATCTGTGGCACAGCTAATGTAATGCCCCCGTGGCTCTTTAATCCTTGCCAAAAGTGTTAGGTAGATTGGGAAGCAACAGGGTGTCTGGTAGAACAGATTGCACTTGCTGTGGTCATTTTAGGGCAGAATAGGGGAGGAGCTCACTTGAAATGCAACCTTCCTCCATGACAGTCAGGCCCAGCCCCTACCCCAAAAAAAAACAACCTATATTACATATATATATATATATATATATATATATATATATATATACATATATATATATATATATTTATTTATTTTCGGAAAAAAAGAAATCCCCTGGACACTTAAAAATTCTGATGAAAGATTAGTAATTAATCTGAAATGCTGATAGAATAAAATTAAAGTTTTATTTTTGTAAGATATCTGAGAGCGCTGAGAATATATTTTTTTAATTTTTTTGTCATTCAAAGTTTATTAATGTTACAGCACAATACAGCGCACAACAAACAATTCTTACGAAGGATAGTGTGGAGCATATACATTATATAACATTAATAGAGTATCAAACTTTTCTTACACATTAATACAACATAGTAAAGGTAATAGTGAGTAACAGTGTTTACTCTTAGTGTACTGAAGTAAGGCTTTGAACAGCCACTATGATATCTGCTATACATTGAGCAGGTTTCTAAGAAAAAAAGAGAAAAGAAAAAGAAAAAATAGAATAAAAGAGATGCGTGCAACAAGTGTACACGTGACAGGTAGTTGTATGGCAAGTGTAAGAGGTTATGAGATATACAACTTCTCTCTCCCCTTGGCTCATGAGACATCAGCATGTTACAAAGAGTACAGAGTACAGTTTGAAAGAGTAGACTAACATGGGTATATATCCTAGCCAAACAGTGGGAAATTGCCTATATGAGATGGGTATGTCAATAAAATACTTTAGCAAAAGTGTAGTGTGTGTAGCCTTACTTTGCAGGAAATGAAATCTAAACAAACAAAAAACCAAAAAAGTCACGAAAAAACAAGGTTTTTACAAACCATCCCTGCATGGAGAGACCTAAAAAGAGAGCCTGTGTGAAACCATTTGTGAGTAGCCAAATGGACAAAAATGTGTTTGGTCTCCTCACTGTGCCTTGTACCAAGCACGCTGGTAAGAAAAATAAATAAATTATAAACAAATAAAGAAATAAAAAATTGTGGAGAAATGAAAAATAAAAAGAGCCCCTTCTCTGACTGCGCTGGCCACACTCTCGGAATGGGGATGCCCCTCCTCAAAACCAATGGTATGCTGAAGGCCTGCACAAGACAGACCCACAGGACTCACAGCATCGGGGACAACTCTCCCTAGGCCTCACTCCAAACCCATAGGCCAAAGCACCACATCACCAGCAGGTAGGCAGTCCGAGGGATCCAACATCGGATCAGCAAACTCCAAGGGCAAATGGGCACCGTGTAGCAGCGCTGTGTAGCAGTTGAGTAATCATCCCCACACTCCAGTTACCAGGCAGGCTCCATATCATGCAGCCTCTGCTGGAATAGGTAGGTGAACAGCATACAATGTAATAACGCCATATTTAGAGGCAACCTGAACTTGGACTTCAGCGGTAAGACCGGGAGGGGAGGGACGGAGCTGCAGCATACATCACATCAGTCTTCAGCATAATCATCTCTGTTGACAGTGGTCTCATCCATCCGGCAAGGCCGTGCACCATTCTGCCAGGTTCATTTTCAAGGCCAGAGGACTGTGAAGTTGAGTAATTCAGAGGCATAACGATCTAAGTTTGCTTGAGGCGATCAGGTCTGTACAGATATCAGCTGACAGTTAGGATGTTCTCCTGAGCATATTCAATCATTCGGGCAGATTTGCATCTAGAAAGTGAATTTTAAGCTTTTTTTAGGGGCTTAGGACTGGAGCTGTTGAAAATGTCCATCACTCAGCTCGATGATCTGGTCCCGCCCTCAAGAATATTTTATATTTGATTTTCTTGCCAGATTAAGCACCAGGTGAAGGGGAATTAAGCAAACCCATTAATTTAATGTTTTGTTGATATATATATATATATATAGAAAGAGACAGAGAGAGAGAGAGAGAGAGAGAGACAAACAGACAGACAGACAGATATTCCCACTATAACAAATGCTCAAAATGAGTATGTCTGATTGTTACAATTATAATAATGAAACTGATGATGAATGCATAAACAGAATTAGTGACTATGTATTCCATCTCTATATTATGTTCTGAAAACGCACTTATTTGTTTGTTTTCCCAACATATTATGTTCGGAAGAGTCTACATTATCTAATTGGCCCGATGGCCTCCTCTGTAGGAACCCTGTAATTAGAGGTAATCAGTCTAATTCTGCAGCTTCTTGAATCATTATAGTAAACTAAATTTTGTGTTCTACTTAAAACAAGCTAATTCTTAAAAAATGCTGTCATATCTAGAAACAGTGTGGGAGGTGGAACGACGCCCTCCCACCTACTCAGGAGAATTTTAAGCAAGTGACTTTAACACCCACCTTTCTCTGTCTTTCTGGTCTGGTTTTGTATTGCACGTGTTGATCTATCACTGCCTTATGGAAAACTTCATTGAAAGGTTCTGCTTTGTGAAAAAGAACATGAAGAAATTTATTGCAGTTCTGTGTAAATTCAATCTATTAATTCAAGGTCAGGAATCCATTGGAAACCGTTTCGGACCTACAAAGCAACACACTCTGGAAAAAAGATAGAATTACATTAAATAGAAGTTATGTCCTGTTTTTCCCGAGTGATTCAGGTGGTGGTCCGCTAAAAATATATTAAAAGAAATGAAGAAATTATAATTAATCTAAAATAAGAAGAATTGCTTACGCTAACAAAAAAAAAAAAAAATACGGTCCAAAACTGGTGATCTAAAAAATAACCCTGGCACTAAATTACTATCCCAAACAGAAATATATACTTCATAATACCCCTCCTGCAATTAGTGATCTCCTTTGAGGATGAAGATGGAGAAAGCTCTCCATCTCTCTCTTTCATCCACCACTTTGTTTGTTAAAATAAATGTGGGTATGATTACTAAACAGGTATTAGTATACCTTAAACCAGGGGTGTCCAAAAGGTAGATCCCCAGATGTTGCAGAACTACAACTCCCACGATGATTGGCATTCATGAAAGATGCAGTTTTAAAACATCTGGGGATCTACCTTTAAGGCACCCCTTCCTTAAACAATGTAGCTTGATCCCTTCCTATAGCTGATCAAGGGAGAGCACAAGGCAAGTTACTCCATCAAGAAGCCATGAACATTTATGTCTGGCTGGCAATAGGGACTGCATG